ACTCTTGTGGGATACTCTTGTAGGACACTCTTGTGGGACACTCTTGTAGGACACTCTTGTGGGACACTCTTGTAGGGAACTCTTGCGGGACACTCTTGTGGGACACTCTTGTAGGAAACTCTGTTGGGACACTCTCGTGGGACATTCTTGTGGGACACTCTTGTAGGGCACTCTTGTGGGACACTCTTGTGGGACACTCTTGTAGGAAACTCTTGTGGGACACTCTTGTAGGACACTCTTGTGGGACACTCTTGTGGGACACTCTTGGGGGACACTCTTGTAGGACACTCTTGTGGGACACTCTTGTAGGACACTCTTGTGGGACACTCTTACGGGACACACTTGTAGGACACTCTTGTGGGTATGGGACACTCTTGTCGGACACTCTTGTGGGACACACTTGTGAGACACTCTTGTGGGACACTCTTGTGGGACACTCATACGGGACACTCTTGTGGGACACTCTTGTAGGACGCTCTTGTGGGACACTCTTGTGGGAGACTCTTGCGGGACACTCTTGTAGGAAACTCTTGTGGGATACTCTTGTAGGACACTCTTGTGGGACACTCTTGTAGGACACTCTTGTGGGACACTCCTGTAGGACACTCTTGTGGGACACCCTTGTGGGACACTCTTGTCGGACACTCTTGTAGGAAACTCTTGTAGGACACTCTTGTGGGACACTCTTGTAGGACACTCTTGCGGGACACTCTTAAGGGAGACTCTTGTAGGACACTCTTGTACGAAACTCTTGTGGGATACTCTTGTAGGACACTCTTGTGGGACACTCTTGTAGGACACTCTTGTGGGACACTCTTGTAGGGCACTATTCGTACGAGACTTCCTCCCAAAGTCACACGTCAAGTCTCCAAAACGAGCGTTTCGTACGAGACTTCCTCCGAAAGTCTCCAAAACGAGCGTTTCGTACGAGACTCCTCCAAAAGTCACATGTCAAAGTCTGCAAAACGAGCATTTCGTACGAGACTTCCTCCAAAAGTCCAGCGGCAGCACCCATCGGAGCACACGCATCACGCAACCCTGCCAAGCAGTTTCGCGAGTCCAGTCCCTCCAAACAACACCCGCTCAAACGCCAATCCCAATGTGACAGCGACATTCACCTCTACCACAACTCACAACCTCCCGATTCCCTGCACCGGCCACGAATCTTTCCGCGTCCACACGTCTAACGCGCACAAAGTACTGCGCCTGTCACGAAATGTCACCCTCGTCACACATCGCAACCTCACGATTCCCTGCGCCTGCCACGAAAATCCCACTTCCACACCTCAAAACCCGCACAAAGTCCTGCGCCTGCCACGAAAAGTAACAATGTCATCTCATGTGAGCTTCAACAAAATTTGCACCACACCACACGTTTGGAATGATTTCGACCCGTTCTGAGCACACTCCCAGAGTCCAATCGGCATTTCAGCTGAGACTTGTCACGAAAACAGAGCTTCGATGCCACACCCTGAAACGCAAATCCCAATGGCACGGCCACATCCAACACCCCAAAAACACGACTCTCCACACGCTAATCCCAATGGAACTGCGTAGCAAACTGCGGATCTCACAAAACGCTGCGCCTGTGCAGCGAAATGCATCACGCTTCTTGCGCGACATGTCCTTTTCACGCAAATCACAATGGACTCGCGTCGCAAACTAACACATGACACATCCATGCCTGGTCACTTGCAAAAGCTTCCCCCAATGGCAGCGCCTTAGCGCTCTACTGCGGACGGTTGCGGACGGTTGCGAACGGTTGCGGACGGTTGCGAACATAGAAGCAACGGGTCGCGAACAAGGCTCTACCCCCAGACCCCCAAGAGTTAAACGAGAACCCTTCGCTACGCATTCGGGAAAAAGAGGCGGGTGCCATGACCCCACAGTCACAAGCTCTTTGAAACAGGTCCACCGGCTGGTCCATGGTCCGGTAAGTCTCGAAGCCAACAAGCTGTTGGGTGTGTACAAACACAGCTAAGTCTCATCCTGACTCTTTACGCGTTCTCTGCCAGTTGTATACTCTCTGTCAACCTGTCACGCTGGTCCATCAAAAGCAATCCCAAAAGAGCCAAGCTGTAAACCATTCCCAAAGATGTTTCTTCTGCTTCAACCAATGCTGAGCTTTGACATCGCTTTTATCCCAGAACTCACTTCGGCACATGTGCGCAGTTGATTCTTCCCAGGCGAGTTGGGACTCTTCTTGCAAAAAGATAGAGAGAGAGAGATGGATCAAACCTTGACTCGGAGCACGGGGAATCAAACAAAATAGCGACATGTCTGTAGGATGAGGGAAAAAGGAAAACAACCACGACATCTCTTCTCTTCTTCTCTTTTTCTCTTTCTTTTTCTCTTCTTCTCTTTTTCTCTTCTTTCTCTTCTTCTCTTTGGCGAAGACAGAACAGTCGGAACTTGGAACCCTTCCACCAAACCTTCACGTCTGTCTTGGATTTCCTGGATCCAAAACAGAAAAGCGTCGGGTAAGCCCGGCCATTCGCGGCACTTCCCACCGACCAAGGCGTCAGAAACTGAACCAGACTCAGACATCTTTCGGGACCGAAACAAGTCAGATCAGTCACATCATCTCATGCCTGAAACATCCATTTCTTTCTGGTTGTTTGGGGTTCCAGGTGGAAATCAAAAAAAGAAAAGTGTGTGGTGTCTTTTTGTTCAGAAACATCCAATGGTCGTGGGTGTCGCCAAACAAATGCCGCGTGTTCTCGTCGCTCGCCCACCCACCGCGAAACACGAGAACTGCCCGTTCGCCACGAGAATCTGAAACCGCGCCTGGCTCACACCATCCTGCACACGACCTGGGATCTTCACCAGTCCATCACTCACCTCACCAGGGTGGCAACGACGGTTCCACGACCATTCCGGCGGAACCTGCGCGCCCCATGGGATCTGCTGCAATCAGGGTGGAAGTCGTCGTCCGATGCTGGGTCCGATGAGGAATCTCCCATCGAATCCCCCAGCTGCAGAGGGTCAGTATCGGGACTGGGGTTCACCTTCAGCGTTTTTCCCCTCTTACATGGGAATTCTGATCACCCATCTGATCCCTTTTTTGAAACTTTGGCCACATGTCGTTTGGTTGGTACTCCACCATCATCACTCAGGTTTTAGATGTATATAGATAGACTTTCCCAAGCGGTGTAGAGGGTGTTGAGTGGAGATCCACTTGATTAGTCTACAGAGGGTACAGTAGTCCATTGTGAACCCCTGCCGCATGGTTGGATAGTCCAAGGTATTTGTACACAACCCAGTGGAAAATGCCACACCTTTGGTTGGTTGCCGATACCTCTCCTTGTCGCTTTTGTGAAAAAAAAGAGCCCTCAGGAGTTGAGTTGGGCAGCTTTGAGGTTTTTCGGAACCCGTAGACTTCGCCTGCGCAGCTCGCAACACCGACTTTGCACCGAGCTTTGAAGCGGGAGAGATCAACGGGCTTCGACGGAAACGGACGAACTCTCGGTGAACCCGCGATGACCATGGCAAGCACGAAGCGGCGGACCATGTTGAACCCACCCAAAAAAAGAATTCTCCACGTCCAGCTTGGGGTGAAGTTTCGGGAGATACGCGGAGTCATGTGCCTTCCCCGCCCCCGTGCAGTCCGTCCATTCTCTTCCACACCCCGAAACGCGCGGTGTCAGCGCTTCTCCCAACGCGGTACCAAACCGGACGCGGACGGGTGGAACCCGCGTGAAGCTGCGCCGATCGCTCGCTCGCTGCGGAAGGTTCCGGGGTGCGGTTCCAGCCCTCGAGCGCTCGGCCTCCTTTTGGGCCATCTTGGGAGTGTCCACGATGGCCTGGTCGAAGCTTCCAGCATCAGAAAGAACACAAAGAAAGGGGCGAACATGGTCTCTGCCAAAAAACGAAGGATTCGGCGAAAACGAAAACGCCTGGCCAATCTCCTCGAAGCGCCCTTGGATCGCACCTGGGTTCGTCTGAATCGATCGAACCGAAAAAAAAGAGAGGAACGTGCGCAGTTGTTGGTGGATTACGAGGTGAAGAAAGAAACAAAAAAACAGAGCTGCCAACATCATCTATTTGGGGTGGTTGTTGGATGAAAATACATTGTCAGGCGTCAGGAAGCCTCTACAAAGCACCCTTGGCCAGGACTCTTTGTTGGTTGGAGGTTTGATTATTTTTGAGATGGTCAATAGATGGTCTTGGTTGGGCAGGGGTCTTGAAGCCATCCCTGTCTTTTGCGGACCTCAGGATGCACTGGTTGGTGCCTTCTCTGCGTCTGCCATTTTCATGATTGACACGTTTTTTGTATATTATTTACATTTCTTTTCTATCTACCAGCAGGACCTAGTAACTCCTAGTAGAACCCACTCCTACATGTTCACTCCAAGTGGTGTTCCTCTACTCAGTTGGCCTTTTCTGCGCAACCAAAAGGAGGTTTCATCGCATTTGAGGATGAAAATTAAGAGCCTCCATGCCTCCGGAAACCAAAGGAAAGATGTGGAAAATGTAACCCGTGTTGAAAACGACACACTTCAAGCTATCTCTTCTTGCTGAGTTCTTGGGACCCCCTCACGATCAAACACCCTGAAAACCCATCTTAGACCCAGCAAAGACTTGTATTTTTTTAGCTGAACTTGATTCCAGGTTCGATTCCACGTGAACCTGAAAGCCAAAACCCTCCCAAGTTCCCTGGATTCGCAACTGCCCACAGATGTGAATCCCGACTTTGGTTGGGGCGCCACAAATGCCTTCACGGTGAGAAATTGGAACAGCACAAGGACAACTGGGTTCCCACCTCGGCCAATACCTGAGTGGCCTCTATTTGGGAACATCAACCACCCTTCTGTCAAAACACGGGTCATGTCTGGGTTCTAGGTACAAAAGACATTGTCCTGTATGATCCTTGACTCCATCATCTGGCCTGGGCACCTGCAATCCCCCCGAAGAAGCCCAGAATGGCGCCCTTGATGCTTTCCAGCAAGCTGATCGGCACTTCCTGACGGGTGGTCCACGGGTGGTTGTCCCTTGGGCGGCGGCCCATGAGCACGAACTTCACGGAATGGTGAAAAAACAAACACCGCGTGGCCAAAAAGGAACTCCTTGATGATGGAACCCCGACCAATGCCCGAAAACCGGCTTCTGATTCCCTTAGGTTTCCCTGAAAACAAAGGTGGACCGTATAAATTGCAGTTCGCTCTGTGTCAATGGTGTCTTCATCAAGGTCTGCAAGAACTTGAAACATGTTTTTTGGTATGCTCATAGAGTTTGCGGGAAATGGTAGAAAAAAATTGTTTTAAATGTGGTGTAAGATTCAACGGAAATGAGGAAAATGGTAGGTTGTGGTGACTACCAAAGCGCGCACAAACTGCAGCCACTGGCGCCATGTTTTTCCACCTCGGTTACATAGTGTTGTAGCATTATCGAAATGTTCAACAAATAGTGCTTACATTATTTTCATCGTTACACACGAACAAAATTCCAGAAAAATGAATGTTTAATTTTTCTATTTGATGAACTTCACTATGTACAACTGAGAATAGCGCTACATTATGTTGTAGCAACTTGAAAATTGCCAAAAATAGACTCATGTTTTCCAGTCACACTACGCTACACAATTTTTGGGTTTTTATACATGTTTTATTTCAATATGCACAACTACAAAAGGTTTTCCTTTGTTTCACTATGCTTACACCATCTTTGAGAAAAAATCCTAGAAAATGAATGTTTTATATAAATGCACCACTTAAGAATAGCGTTACATAATGCTATAGCATTTTCAAAGCTTGCCCCCACAAAGAATGTTTTTTCTAGTCCACTATGTTATACTATTTTGATTTTACAAAGTTGCAGACCACAACACAATTTGGAAATGTGTGCGCGCTGAAACTTTTCTACAAAGTTACAGACCACAACACAATTTGGAAATGTGTGCGCGCTAAAACTTTTCTATGTTCAAGTTTCTCACGCGCCGCCAAAACTAGTGTTACATAGTTTTACACCAATTACAGTAAGCCTGGCCAAGGAAATTCCCCAACAGCTAGAAACATGTTGCGTGCTCTTGAGACACTACGTCGCAAAAGCATCAATCAAAACTTTTTTGGGCAAGCCCAGGTAAACACTGCGGCTTACCAGATCCTACCAGCATTCAAGTAGTGCCACACCGTGGAGAGATGGAAGCTGATGCGCTACAACGTTTTATCGGAGCCTGCTCCGGAAGCTCCTCCGGAACCTGCTCCGGAACCTGCCCCGGAACCGGCCACGCTGCTCCGAAGTCTGTGCTGTGGCTGAAGACCCCTAAAACTTCGCTGTTGGGGAAAACTACCAACACGGGTATCTTGTATTTTCCAAGGCCAGCGCAAACGAATATCTTGCATTCTCCAAGGACACCAGTCATGGTACGACGTTCTACGCCCTATGTGTTCACAAGTTGTTCCACAACACCACAGGCTAGCCAAGTGTTTGAAGCCACCTTGCCTTGAGCAGGTGTCCACCGATTTCACAAGATTAGAACATTACCAACGTGTGCGTTTATAATGTTAAATATGTTCCAATACTCCTTTGAAAACCTTTGCATAAATAGTTTTATAAGTAACAGTTGCCAAAAAGATTACAGACAATACCCGCCACAGACCCAAACTGCAATCCCTTAAGAAGGTGAAAAAAGGTTGTCCACTACTGGCAAGGTAAGCGAACCTGACAAGACTTGGTAGCTTGGAGGTCAGGCCGGACGATGGTGCAAAATGGCAAGGGTCACATGGGTCGTAGAGGCTGTGCGCCACCCCAAACTTATCCTATTTCCTCCCGCACAATCTGTAGTTTGGACAGGCTCAAGGACTTTGAAGGGAACTTGGCCAGTAGCACTGAGTGAAACTTTCAAAGCACTCACTTCTTGCTCGCCTTCCTGCTCAAGATAAGGAAATGCAGCGTCGCGTTCGTCCGCAGCACGTTCTGCTTGAAAACGACGACGAGCAAAATCCGGGCCGAATCTTTCAATGGACGCCAAGCGTCTCTGATGATCTGCATCCAAACGCGCTTGATCAACCGCACCCACGCTGCCTTTCAACTTTGTTTTTGGTGCGGCATGTCCTGCTGGCTCAGGGATATCGTGGCCAAGGCCTAAACGCAACCTGGCCTGCACATTGTAGGAGTTCCCAGGAGCTGCTATTCTAAGCAGTGCCTGTCGATGATGCTTTTTTTGAAGCTCTGCGACAGCACTCCTGGCCGCCCTATTAGGGGAGCTGCAGCATCCTTCTCATGAGCTCCCTTGACAGAAGGATTCATAGGCAGCTGGGTCTTGGTCATCTTGCATGTCTGCAATAAGGCTGGCACAGACAAGACCCAGCACTCAAAGAACGCTGAAACCACTTGCCCTCGTCGATTCCGTGGACGTGACTGAGGCTGTCAAACGGCCTGCTTCTGTAGGCGTGGGGCAAGTTCTCCTCAGCCTTTGACCACGAGAGGCGCCGCCCGTCCAAACCTTGCGCACGACTTTAGCGGCGCTTATCGCGCAGCCACTCTCGGGCCAAAAAAGCTCTACACCGGACAGCGCTAGACGAAACAAGCTGGAGCCAGTGGAGCTCACGGACCGAATGCACACACATACACAACGACCGCTTCCTAACAATCTTGGACCCTCTTCAAAAACACTCTTGAAGGACATTATGGGGTGACACTCTTCTAGGACACTCTCTTGGGGCACTCGTGCGGGGCACTCTTTTGCGCATTTTTGGTAAGACGCCAGACGGTTGCAAAAATGAAATCAACGTCACAATGAGAACCCTTTGCTACGCACTCAGGAAACATGTAATCAGCTCCGGGATCGCAACAGTTTATATGTTCAAAGCAGAAGCCGCGGTGGGAAGGTGGCGGAACACCAATGCAAAAAAACGAAACCCGAGTCTGAATCAACCACTACGCACGCCACAAGCCAGGTGACTGGATGGCTTCATTGTGAACACAGTTTGACCCATTAAGGGCGTCCTTCCAACACCCACATTGCGCAGAAGGTGCGCTCCACGGCCTCTCGGTGATCCGCGCCTCGGACTCGGACTGGCAGATAGAGCGTCAGAAAACTGGTCAAGTCAAATCACTTGGCAGATTTGGAAGGTTCGGATTTTAATTTCGATTTAACTTGCATTGTGTTTTTTTGCTTGCTCTTGGCTTCTGTCTTAATATGGAAAATAAACGGAAATGTAAAAAAGGAAAGGGAAAGCGAAAAGGAAATGGAAAGAGAAAAAGAAGAGGGAAAAGAAAAGGAAAAGGGAAGGGGAAGTGTATAAGGGAAAGGGACAGGGAAAAGAAAAGAATGAAAAAGGAACTGGAAAGGTGAAGGAAAATGAAAAGGCAAGGGGTAGGGGAAGGGGAGACGAGGAAAAGAAAAGGAAAAGGAAGTGACGCACAACATTTGTGGAATTTACTGTTTTTACTTCTGTTGGTATTTCCAACATTTTGGAGAAATCACGCTTGAGATTCTGCGGTATCTGCCACACATAAAGTTGTTTTGATTTCGACATGTGCTGGCGTTGACTTCATGTTGGAATCATTGCGGCGCAGGTTTGGTGGTCTTTGCGGCGCATTAGCATTTTTTTGCTTCCTGTCATTACTTCATTTTGGAACATGACATGCCTGCATGTCCAGCAAACTCGAAGCTTTGGGGGCCGGTGTTCTTCAGCTTTTTGCTCAATGACAACACGGAAGTTCACATTTGGCTGTGTTCACGGGAAATTGCCTGCTTTGACTTTCTGACTCAACGCGCGACCAACTTGGAAGATCAGCTTGGAAGCTTGAGGTTGCAGATTTTCAGCTGCTTTTTGATATTGGAGAACACAAAAATGAAAACGCGCCAGTCTGCGCAGAGAATTGGGAGCTTTGTACTTGCTTTTGGCCGGCGCTGGCGGCGGTGCCTTGGAAACTTCGGCGCAGGGTCGCGGGTTGCTGAGGGATTTTGACTTTGACTAAAGAGAGGATTGGAAGTGCATGGGTCCGGCCACACCGAGACTCCGCAGAGCCTGCACCTGCGCCGGGCATAGTGAGTTGGTTGTATTGTTTCTGCAGCTTGGCAACCACTCTTTGATGCCCTTGGATTTCCACATGGGCAAAAAAGGCCGTCCAGAAGGCATGAAAGAGGTGCAAAGTCCATTGCTTGGAAATACAGCGCCATTGCACTGACCGGGATGAGTGCTGCGTGCGATGCACCGGGGAATTCTTTGTGCAAGAGACCGTGAAATCCAGAGGTCCAGCAGAAGTTGCTCCTGTCACATGTGCCCAATCCGCAAGTCGAATTGATGATGGTGCAACAAACCGCCGGGCAGCTTCAATGCCACGAAGGAATCAGGAAAATAAACCCACATTGTTTATCAAAATTCGATAATTTATCATAGTGATCCTTTCCGGAAGTTCCCTCTGATAGAAATAAACGAAAGCGTCAGCAAACACTTAAAAGAGACTGTTGGTTCTGCGCTGTTCTGGATATTCCGCCAAAGCACGTGCCACTGACCAAATGAAAAAATAGTATGCCCCCGTACTACCTGGGCAAAAACCTTCCAAACATAATCACACTGCAAAACACATCCGCATGCAAATATATATATATATACATACCTGTGCATAGGTACTTTTCAGGTGTACTCGCACGTCTATATACCACATGGCTCTATAGAGAGAGAGAGAGACACATGAAAAATGATGTACAAATGTATGTGTGTGTGTACACAGTAATATGAAACAGTGTTCTTCAAATCTGCATTTATGTATACATCGTACACAAGCAGCACAGCTGCGGCTGGCAACCTGCAACAACACTGCGGTCAACACCAGTTCAACACAACTGCAGCTGGCCACTTGCAACAGCACTGCGTTAAAAACGCAGGCCACTGCAAGCAGCACAGCTGTAAAAAGCCACAAGCCAGCAAAAGCCAAAAGCCACAAGCCAGCCAAAGCCAAAACCAGCAAAAGCCAAAAGCCACCCAAAGCCAAAAGCCAAAAGCCACCAAAAGCCACCAAAAGCCAGCAAAAGCCAAAAGCCACCAAAAGCCACAAGCCAGCACAAACCACCAGAAGCCAAAAGCCACCAAAAGCCACAAGCCAGCAAAAGCCACAAGCCACCAAAAGCCACAAGCCAGCAAAAGCCACCAGAAGCCAAAAGGCACCAAAAGCCACAAGCCAGCAAAAGCCAAAAGCCCCAAAAAGCCACAAGCCAGCAAAAGCCAAAAGCCACCAAAAATAGTTCTTTTAATATAATTCCAAAATATATATATATATATGCAATTTCATGTAGTGGTTTCGTTCCGCTATGTATCTAGATCAAGC